GAGGTTCTAATGTCTGGTCTGGGGGTGTGCTGTAGGGGATGCTGCTGTAGGTGCCTCCTGCTGTAGCGCTGCTGGGCTGCTTCAGCACCTCCCTGTGATGGGCATGGGGTGTTGGGTGCCCTCATGGGATGTTATTGTCTGAATGCACAGCTGACTGGGGTTGGCATCACACCTGTGTTTATACAAGCTCAAAAAGCTGATCTGCAGAAGAGCATCTAGAAGGTTATGGGAGTAGGGGAAGGAGTCTCTGTGTGGAGCCAGCTTGCATCTGTCCTGGGCTTTCTAGCTCAGACCGTGCCTAGAGGGGACTATGCAGAGAAGGTAGTCCTGTGAGCAGTATAGCTTACCTGGTCCAGCACAGAAATTGTCCTGGTGGCTTTTAGGTCTTGATGTATGTGCTACTGGGATGAACTGCCTGCTGTTTCAGTCTTGACTTTCTTGCAAGCTGTGTATCTTGAACCTGAAATCATCTTGTCTAGTAGGGCCAAGCCTGGAACAAAGGGGTGGCCCAATGTGAGTGCAGTCAAATCCTTCTGTAGAAGGTGGGTAGTGAAGGAGAGGGAACAAGTGTCCAATCCCAACAAGTTTCCTTTATGGACATATACAGAGTGCTAGCATTGCTAGTTACTTTAATGGCCCATTGTACTGTTAAATCAATTACAGACTTCCAATAATTTGGGTGCCCACATCTTGTTATAAACTTGTATCATAGCAACTTCAGGCACCAGCTTTTTCTTTTAACACTAGTATGTAGCAAATGCTGCCCCCTCGTAAGCTCAGTAGGACTTAAGTAGCTGTTCTACTTGGAAATAAAACATGTTTTTACTCTAAGCTTCTCTTTTCAGCTGCTTAGAAGTTCTTGGGCTTGTCTCATTCATGCTGGGTTTTGGCTCATAGATCTGTTTCATAAATCTAACCAGCCACTTGAGTGGACAGTGAGAAGAGGGGTAGTGCCAGTTCTAAAGCTTTTCTGCTGCTCTTTGTGTTTGTGTAACTCTGTGGCTTTGTTTATAAAGCTTTAGGCTTGGCAGGTATACAATCCTCTAGACTGATGTTTTCTTTAAAGTAACCAGGTCTTAGAAGTGGTTAACTTTACAGCCCATGGGAAACGATACATAGTACTTGCTGCTTTCTGGAAGGACTAGACTGAAGTCCTGATATTAATGTGTTTTGTATCTGGGCTGCCTAACTGCAAATGTCTCAGATGACTTGGAACAAACTACTTTGAGGGTATCGTGCTCTTTATATATACACCCTTTAAATAACCTGGAGCTCTTATAGGATGGAATTTCACCAGATAATTTCCCAACAGCATTAACTATTAGCTTTTATTAATCACTGGCTAAGAAATGTAAAGCTTCAGCAGCAATGAGGTGTGCTTGCACTTCAGCTTTTTTCTTGCTACTTAGTGGTAGTTGGAAGTAGGCCAAGGATGTTTGGGGAGGAGTTGTGGATAAGCATATCAGTTGGTTGAGTTTGGAGCCTGAGGAAGGTCAAAGCAACTACAGTAGCACAGCAGAGAAAGACAAGACCAGTTTCGTTCTGCACCAGTGAGTATAGGTGTGCATTTTGCTACTGAACCTGACATATGTGGTGTAGCAAGCTGAAGTTGTAAGAATGAATTCTGCAAGTGCTGTTAATGTCCTCTAGTCTTGACAAACTGGTGTCTGTTTCAAACATAGCTGAACTTTTTGATAAGATTATTTAAATTCTCCAAGTCAGGCATATGTTACACCCTGATTTACAATGAATGACTGGCAGTGCCTCAAAATTATTGCTTGCAATTGATAATCAATAAGCCATGCTTAATTCTGGAATGGTTGGTACATAGAATGTTGTGGAGTACTGTAACTGTCACCACTTGCTGCATAATAAAGTGGTGTTCTCAACCCCAGAGCTAGTTTAAAAGCATAGTAAAAGCTGTTGTCAGACTACTTAAATTGCTGTTCTTAAAGATGAAATTACTCACTTCAGGGTTCTCTGAAAATGGTATTTGTCAGGAAAGGATATAGGAAACCTGAACCTGGCTGTCAGAGGCCTGCATCAGGCAAGTGGACTATCAAACTACAGAGTTAAAACAGATACTAATGGAATGTCTTGTGTACACTTTGATTGCAGAATGAAATTTATGTTATTGTAAGATGAAACAGTCAATATTATCATTTAAGTGTTGCTGTTGATGTACTTGTTTATATCATAACTTATAGTTACACCACGTGGTAGCAGAGATCACAAAAGGAAGGTGGTTAATTAATAGCTACGAAAGAGAAATCTGTAAATACTAAAAACCTATGACACGTTATATTGTTTTTATTGTTACCCCAGTAGAGTTGCCTTTTTTTTTCCCCCCAAGAGTCTGAGTAAAGAGTAAATAACCTCTGCTAGCAAAACATTTGGGTTTGTGTGGTGGTCACAAAGTACAAGGACACAATCAACAATTGTCTCTGAGCAGCAGGGGTAGAGAAGGCCTTGAGCAAGAACCGGATGTAGCCACAGGCCCCAGGCCTGTGTTAGAACCAACCATACCTGCATCCCTTCCAGCAGATGTTTGTGTAACCTTTTTTATTTTACATTCCAGATGATGGAGATTCCAGAATATCCCCCCCAGGCAATGTGCTTCAGTGTTGAACTACTGTTAGCTTCCTCTCCCTAACATCTAACCCAAATATTCCTGCCTGCAAGTTCCTGTCTTTTCCACAACAGACATGGAAAACCAATTCCCTTCCTCTATGCAGCAGTCTTTCATGTATGTAAAGACTATTATGTCTCCTGTCACTTTTCTCTTCTCTAGACTAAACAACCCCTAGGTGTTTTCTAATCTTTCCTTGCAGTCCAGGCTTTCTAGAGCTGATCACTCCTGAAGAATGACTTTGGTCTCTCCAACTGGTCTGCCTAGTTATCAACTGGAAAACTCATTGTATGAATTGTCACAACTTAGCCACTTGACTGGACAGATTTTGCTAAGATAAATCAAACACGTTACTCTTTACAATCTCGGATCTGAGTTTTGAGCAGGAAGTCAGGCTCTGGATAGTGGTCAGGCAACTGCAAGGGTTTTAGAAGTCAGAGCAGTCTGGGAAATTATCACCCCTTTCTCTGACAGGAACTCGCTGTGGGCCTGTCACTTCTCTACTGTGGTGCCAAGTAAAACTGGCAGCTTAAACAACTGCGTTGGCCATCCAGGTGGTACCCGAGAGCTCTGTACCTGGCTATTTGTGCAAGGAAATGGTCCTCTTCTGAAGCCAAAGCTTTCCTGTGATTCTGCCATGGTGTGTAGGAGGGAAGAGCCTGTGACCCTTTCTGAGAGAGGAGTCCCTTGGGTGGGTGCTGTGAGGGAAGAGTGGTTGCTGGGGGGGCTTGCTGCCCCTGTGGCAGGAGCTGAGGGGCTGCAGGAGGTGAAGCCCCAGCTGGGGATGAGGGGCTGACAAGGCCTGCTCACCAGGGCTGGGCTGGTGCCCTCCTGGGGACTAAACTCCTCCTGTGCTGAGGGCGAGGGGGTTGCAGGGGAGGAGGAATGGCACCCCCTGGCAGCCAGAGCTGCATTCTGCCTGCAGAGGAGGGGGTGCTTTGCCCCTGTGCGTGACCAGCATCGCCTGCCACCCTGCCTCAGGAAGACAGGCCTCAAGCTGCTCGTGCCCAGCCCAGCCGCCTTGAGGGGCTGTGGGGCCTCTGCCGGGGTGAAGGTGCCTCCATGGCTGCTGCCTCCTGGTGAGGGGTGTGGGGCTTGGACCCCTGGGGGCTGCAACAGTGGTGCATTTTAATGGCCAACAGGGACTTTGCCAGGAAGCTGGTGGTGGCCTTTCCTGAAAAGAGGTGTCTGTGTGAGCAGCTTGTTCAGTGGTGGCAGGTCACTGGTGTGGTGAACTTTAGCTTTGAGTGTGACTAGTCCCTCCCTGTGTAGATGGTGGCCTGTGCCATCCCTCCCCTCTCCAGCTGGTAATGCTGTGGAAAATATCTGGCTTCCAAGGAGGATTCACACAAGCTGCAAACTGAGTCAGAAATCTTTCTGGTTATACAAATAATGCTTATCTGAGGGGCCTGTCTGGTTTGTTTTACAGCATACCCTGTGTTCTCACTGCGAGTGTTAACTAACCTCTCTTCTGTTTCAGTTCTGCCACAGACTCCTGTGAAGGTAAACACATTAAAAACAAACTTTCTCCCTCATCAGCTGCAACTTATGAGTGTAAAACTTTCACTTGTAGGAATTCAAAAAAAGAAGCTGACTTAAACGTGGCACAGGCTCGTATGAGAGACCTTGATGCTCAGCTGAATGCGAAGGAAGCTGACTTAGCAACAGCTTTGAATGAGAAACGAAGCTTGGAGAATGACGTTCATGAATTAAAGGCTCAAGTAGTCACTGTAAGACTTGTTCCTGGAATTTCAACTTTGCTTTTGTTCCTGAAGCTTTTGCTTGTTTTTCCCCAACTAGTTACTGAGACTTAAAAGCAGGGAAAGACTGTTACCTATGGCAATGACAGGTGGATGCGAAGATTTCTGCAGTCTTGCTGAAAGCAAATGCTACTAACAGATAGTTGGTCTGTGAAAACTTCCACCTGTTGTAGGTACCTTTAGTTCTATTCTATGACCACAGTATATAATTATTCTTGTTCTAAGGACAAAGCAAGTTGAAATGTGTTGTACTGCTATAGCCCCTGTAGCATTCTCTAACATGTCAGCAAAGGGAGCTTTTGATGGAACCTGCTTCACTATGCTTATATCTACATAGAGTAGATAAGTTCTGACTACTTTTTTGGTAGGCTTTTGTGCTACTAAAATGAGCTCTGCTTGAGTCGCTACCCTATCAATGCATTTTAAGAGCATAGCTTTATCTTCATGCTTTAATGTGATCGTTGAATAAGCTAATTCCAAATCTTTAGGATGAAAACTTAAACCCAAACAAACTTGTATCATTAAAGCAGCACACTCTAACACTGGAAGTGTATAATAGTTTGTCAATATAATTAGGCTATATTTGGAAGATTTTGCTTGTTCAGCATCAAACAAATGATACTGGATGTTAGGGAGAAGTTTGGAATACTTAGTGTCATGAAGGGGAGGACTGTATATGGATGGTACAACTGGTTCATCAGAAGTCTAATTGGAGGAGTCAAACTTAGCTGGTGGGATTAAGGGCTGCTCTGTATTTGCCTTGTGGGACATCTGGTCTACATAATTAAACAGGATTCTTTCTGTTGCTAATATGCTAGATCCCACTGAAATAAGAACTTAGAGTAACCAACTTAAGTGGTGTGTTTTGATTGCTGCAAGAATGAAGTTGAGTGGCATGTAAGAAGTTGACTGTCTTAGTTTGGAAAAATGATCTCTTAATTGTGATTATCCTGATATCTGTCATTTCCAGCTGGAGCTTTCACTGGAAGATACCAAGAAGCATCTCCACAGTGAAATGTTGAGGAGGGTGGAACTGGAAAATCATATGAAAACTTTGCAGGAACAAATGACGTTCCAGAAGCGCCTTCATGAAGATGTATGTTTTAGCTTATTAACAAGGATTTTCTTAGGTGTCCATGATCCCTGGATGCACTTAAATGCAATGTTAAGATGTACTTTATCATTAAAAATGTAACTAGCTGAGTCAACATGACAATCCACCAGCCAATAAAATCCACCTAACTAGGAAGACTTCAAGAAAGTACCACAACCTCATGTTAACTGGCATAGGTACCAATAGGTAACTGGAATACGAGATAATTTTCTCAGACTGCACTTCTGAAGGTAACTACAATCCCAGCATACTACTTTGTGTAACTGAAAGTGCATATATTGAAGTTAAATGTTTCCAGATGTCTGCTAGAAGCCTAAAATAATTGAAGAAGTTAAATCTCCTTTAATAAGCAACTTATGTTCCCTGCTTCCTTTTAACACTTATCAAAGGTGTCTGGTAACCTTTGTGTGAGAAGTCAGTACCTAGAATTAAACATGTGAATGTAAACCAACTTCCTTCTGACTGGAAGGAATCTCAAAGTGTGTGGTTTGTGATAGAGAATTCCAGTTTCTCTAACCAACTGCTATTACTTTTTGAATAAAACAGAATAAGTGAAGTAACAGTGCTTAAAGAAACTGAACTGTTATGTGTGTTCTAAGTAAAGAAAAGCAGAGAAATCCATCTATTCAAAGGATTAATTTTAAAAGTAAGTACAAACTACTGCATTAGTTTAAGCAAAGTTGGCAGCGAGGCAGCAAAACAACCCAGAGCAGCTGGCAGTGTAGAAGTACCTGACCTAATGGAGGGATATCCAAGATCTGACTAAAAATGAATTGCCATGCACTGTGATAAATCTGCTTCAATATTGAATGACTTGTTAACCTGGTACAGTAAGTCCAGTCTCAGAGCAAACTGTTGGCTTGTTTATTCTCTGAGAAATTTCTTCTTCTCCTAGGAGCTCAAGGAGACAAAGAGAGTCCATGAGAGCAGGGTAGCAGAAATAGAATCTGGCCGTCAGAGAGAATTTGAGAGTAAGCTCTCAGATGTTCTGCAGGGGCTCAGAAAGCAACATGAAGAACAAATTCAAGGATACAAAGAGGAGCTGGAGCGAACATTCAGTGCAAAAGTGAGTCTGGAAAAGATGCCAATAAAGCAAAGGTTAAGTTCTCTGCACCTTTATATGATTAAAGGCACACCAGCATAAATAGCTGACTGATGGAGCACTTGAATTCAGTGCAGAGCTTCTTGGTGTAAGTTGTTATGGAATTTCAAAGCACTGTCGAACTTCTGTGAACACTTGGTACCAAACAAAACTGGTTCAATTATAAATACAGTCCCTTTGGAGTGATTATGAATGGTTAATGTCATAAAGTTGATAATTTAGACTTCTGACAAATCTGAGAGTTTGTATGACCAAGTTGTGCTATGTTTCTGTTAAGCAGTTTCAGTGTTCTTTATGAAACTTGATCTACTGATTATATTTTTACTGAAATGCATGAAATAAGGTGTTCTTACAGTCCTACAAGAGCACTTTTAAAGGTATGAGTGCAAATGTCCCTTCCCAGTTGCTAGTACTGGATAAGGGGGTGAGGGTGGCTATGGAAGTAGCTTGATAGTTTGTCTTCCAGAACTGGTCTGTCACATCTTTCCCAGCATTAGCCACATATGCAGGAAGAAATAATACTTTAGGCCTATACTCTTGACAGGTAAGATCCCAGTGAGTTCTGGGTTGGCTGCAGTGTGCAGCATTGGTACATTAAGCCTTTCTTAATGCTCAGTGCAGAATGACATGATCTGTTACTTCTCTCAACAAGTACATGTGTTCATTTCTTCCTGCTTCTTCTGGCTTTCTCTGTACTCCAATTTATATGCCAGCTCAGTGAATTCCTTTGGATGCTTCTGTCCAGGTTTCCACTGGAAATTCTGTGAGTGCCTCTTGTAGGAGCATAGCTCTACTTTATCCTTTCTTGGAACATTTCAAGATTGAATTGCTCTAGAAATAGTGCAGTGCTGCTTATAGTCATGCAGGAACTGTTTAGTGATAGAACTTCTGGGGAAGTGCAATAGTTTGATAAGCACAGCTAATACCCTGTAGCCCCATGCTTTGACAAGCAGCTTCTTAAATGTATTCTCTGTTCTTCTGGAGAATCAATTTCCTTAGTATCTATAGAAATTCTTCATGCATCTGTAACAGAATTATCCCAATCCAGCCATTTTCACTACCTGACTATTACTGACTTTCTCTGACATGAATGTCAAACTTGTAAGCCTCCCTGAAAAGCAACAAAAAAACTTTGACCTGGACTTTATTGGTATTTATACATTTAAGTAAAACATAACTATCTCCATATGTAACAGCTGGAAATCACTTGGTTTTCCTTAATTTTTAAAAATACATGGTCATAAGCAAGTAGTTACTAACAGTAATTTATCCATAGATGGAGAATGCCCAGATATCTGCAGCAAGAAGTGCTGACCTTGCCAATGCTGCACAGGAGGAGCTGATGCAAACAAAGCAGAGAATTGATATTCTGACAGCTCAAGCTAATCAATATCAAAGCCAGGTACTATCTTTATTTGTATAACCTTAGAATTATTTTAATTTAGATACTCAATTCAAAATATTGGTTTCTCCTTTGTAATCTTCTGTTATGGTTTAATTGATTTTTTTGGTCCTATCCCCTTAATTTTAGAATGCTGCTTTGGAGAACAAAATAAGGGAGCTACAGGAGACACTGGATTATGATCGTGAACTCCATCGAAGGCGTATGGCTGAAAAAGAGAAAGAAATGGCACAAGCCCAGCAGCAGACACAAGCGCAGTTGGAAGAATATGAGAATCTCTTAGATGTGAAACTGGCTCTAGATCTGGAAATAAATACCTACAGAAAGATGCTGGAAGGAGAGGAACAAAGGTAGGCTATGACAAGGTCTTCATATGAGAACTTGCTTCATCCAAGATCTCTGCACTAACCATATCCTTCAGAACGTGGAGGAAGCAAGAAATGTATATTAAGTATGTCATTAATGCCATAATTTAGTTCTTGAAGCATAGAATAGCAAGTTGGAAGGGACCTCAAGGATCATCTAGTCCAGCCTTTCAAGGTAAAAATATAGTTTAAATGATATGGCCCAGCACCCTGTAAGCTGAGTCTTAAAACTGTTCAATGTAGGGGAATCCACCACTTCCCTTGGGAGATTATTCCAATGTCTAATTGTCCTCTTAGTTAAAAAGTTTCTTCTGGAGTCCAGAAGAAGATAATTTTCTGTAGGTGGTATTTATATCCCACATCCACCACATAGTGTAGTAAGATGAAGTAACTTGATAAGCCCAACTGAAAGTTCAAGGTCCATTAGATATCCCTCCACTTTCTCAAAACTTTGTGCTACATCCTAGAGATACACCAAAGACAGGGCTCAAGTTTCATGAATGAAACTGGGAAATTGTATCAACTCCCAGCTATCCAGACACTGCCTGGTGAGAACAAAGTGAACTCTCAATACATGTGAAGAAGGGTCAAAAACTTAAACTACTTCTGCTAAAGATTGTGTCTGCAGAGACTTTAAAGAAAAACTTATTGCAGTTGGGAATCTTTTCTTATCGATGTAAGCTTGCTCTGAACTTCAGGGCTGTCTTCCAAACTTAACAAGCTACTTAGTGACTCTTGCCAGTAAAAATAAAATCTTATACTCAAGACTTCATGGAAAGCTTGGATATAAGAAGCTGTTAGGATTGGCTATAGTGGGAGGATAGGAGTGAGAAGAAATAAGCACATCAGATATTCAAGTGAATGTTATCTGACTCCCTTCTAGGCTAAAGCTGTCACCCAGTCCATCTTCACACAGCATTACAACTCAAGCAACAAGTCAAGGGCGACGGTTTCTGCATGGGAAGAAAAGGAAAATGAAAGAAGCCAAGAAGAGAGGGCATAGTGTTGGATTTAAGACTGTTCAGCATGCTTCATCTTCTGGAAATGTATCTATTGAAGAAATCGATGCAGATGGGAAATTTGTCAGGCTTAAAAACAACTCTGACGAGGTACTTCTGTTCATTCAAAGCTGCATGGCCCTTGTTGCAAAGTATGACTGCTGGTGAACTGACGTGTAGCTTAGAGAGATGACAATAGGGAAGGATGAAGAGATGAGGAAAGAGTACTACCAAAAAATACAAAGAGGGGACATCTCGGCTAACCTGGCTGCTGTCAAGAGGAGACTAGAGACTGATTCTTTTTTTGGTACTGCAGGTGTTTTGTTCCCAGGGCTGTCCAGGAGGTGCTTTTGGGAGGGGGAGATGCACTGGGTTCAGTGATGCAGAAATCTGCTACCTTCAGTTATTTCTTGTCAGGTTCAGACTAGCACTATTGGATACTTATCCTTGATGAACTAAAAGTGCTTAGTAAATTGGATAATGACAGCTTATTACTTAAAATACTTAAAAAAGCAAAAAGATTGAATAGAGCTGACAGTATCTAATCCATGCAGAGGGTTTCTCTGACCAATTAGATGATTCTTGGACTAATTTAGTCTAGAAATCCAGAATTACTAGAACTAATCCTCAGAGCCTCAAAACTTGTGGCTTGTAGCTTCAGACTGAGATGCCTTAAACCTTCACAGGTCACTGTTATAGATGGCCAGAGTTGGTAGATGGGCATGACAAACTTCATGTATCAGAATCTCTCTGAAAAGCTTCATGGTGCCCCTTCAACAGAAGGCAAGAACAGGTGTGCCTAAACTTGTGGGACTAAGATTAATCCTAAGGAAGTACAGGGAGAAATCATAAGGAGGCTGTAATGGAAACTTGAAGGCTTCCTCAAAATTGATAAGATTCTTATATGCTGCAGGAGTGGATTTAAAACTGACCCTTGAGTCTGGAAAGAATCTTGCACTTGTGTGGTATGGTGTTGGTCTGTAATGCTGAGAGAAATTTCTTGTTCCACAGGATCAACCACTACATGGATGGGTGTTAAGACGACATCTTGGAAGTGTGTCAGATGTAACATACAAATTTCCTTCACTCTTCACTCTTCAGGCAGGCCAAGTAGTTACAGTAGGTAGTGGCTTCGTAAAACTTACTCAGAGCTCTGTTTTTGCTATGTTAGGTGGCAATAGAGATTCACGTAATAAGGAAAACTAAGTTGATACTGCAAGTGCCTAAAGAACCAAAATCCTTATGTGGAGAGGGAGATAAGAAAAATTCTTGCAGAAATTCAATCTGAAATGTCAATTAAACCTTCTTTAAAGCTTGATCTTGGACTGAACTTGGATCATCCCTGATTGGGATATGCTGTTATTGTGAACAGAATCAATATATTCTAGCTTATTCTTCAGGTTTCCCATACTCCTGTGATTTGGTAGAAGTTGTGCAAAGACTTACACTGTTGCTAAAAGCTTTAGTCCACTACAGTTCAGCAACGCTGAGCTCATGGTTTATGGTACTAAGCTAAATATTAGCTCTAAAAATCATACTGAGTACACTTAGTGATTGAAGAGCCTGACTCTACTGTACTCCAGACTCTGTACAAGCTTGCTAAAGAGATCTGAGAGTGACCCCAGGCTAGAGGCTATCTTGTATACACAAATTGCTGCTATGAGTATGTCTGTAACTATGGCTTGGCTCTATGACTCAAATTGTATGCAAGTCCAAGCAAGGCTACCTCTACATGAGGTAAAAGCTGCTAATGGCCTTTCCTGCACTAACTGTTTTACAGTCTTCAGTTAAAGATAAACATTACCACCACTCTTGGTAGTCCTGAAAAGAGCTAACCTGCCAGGGATCACAGTAATTCAGTTTCTGTTCCTGGACATCTTTGGTATTGGAGTACCTAATAGTTATGTTAGATGGACTCCTAATCTAACTACAGAGAAGATTCTTCAGAAGCTCATTCTAAATCTCTTGCAGATCTGGGGTGCGGCTGCTGGTGTAAGCCCAGGTCCTAGTGATCTGGTCTGGAAGTCTCAGAAGTCCTGGGGAACTGGGGGTGATATTGGTGTTACACTCATCACAGATGATGGTGAGGTAAGTGAGATGATAGTAAATAGCTGCTTCTGTCCTAAGACTAAACTTGTTTGATGTGCTCAATTCTTGGTGGCAAAACAATTCTATTCTAGGAACTTGCAGAGAGGAAGATAATGCATATACCCAGAGGAGAAGACAGTGGTGAGCAAGATGATGATTATGAAGAAGTAACTGGAAGTGAAATGGAGTTTCCTCCTCAGGTAAGCTGCCTGAAGTATAAATACATGCTATCAACAGTCATTCAATGGCCATTTCATTACTGTATGAAAATACTTCTCCAAGTACTATCTATATCCTACAACTCTTAACATTTTTCTTGATGTCAGACTAAAAGAAGAAGAAAAAAGAAATGTTGTTTGGTTTCATGATAGTGGTTCCCATGAGCATCCTTAAGCAGGTGAGATGGTGAGAATCACGCTTGTCATCTCAGCAAACTTGCTTCATTGATAGTGCTGCAGTCTCTTGTCCCACGTAGGATGTAGTTTGCATGGCTTTGCATCACAAGTGTAATTGGTGTCTTGCTTAATCTCTGGTTGAATATGATCAGAGTAGCATTAATTGTCTGGTTTCTTACTACTGACACACTGAAAAATACTAGCTTTAATGTCTGTTCTATCTAAACATCTGACTGACTAAGCTTAAAAGCTGTTACCTCAAGAACAGAATGCAAACACTAACTAGGAATATCTTATTTTGATGAGATGAAGTGACTTAACTGACACTCCAGTGTCCCTGACTTGCTCTTACAATAATTTAAATTCACACTAAAGAAACCTAGTATTTCCATCCAAAAGTATTAAAAGGCTGAAATCAAAGTTCTTAGGGTATTGATTGCAAAAATCCCTCTTAAATTCAAGCATGAGTTTGAGGCACTTTGTTTACAGCTCATTTCTAGGAACTACTTTTTCTTATTTTGCACAGCAAAGTGAGTATCTCAGCCTTGCTTCAGTCATAAATACTCCCTTCAATACTTTCCAAGTGGAACTTCAGCACAGATGCAGGTCATGCTAATGGAGTTAACATAGCTAGACAGAATAAGCGTGTTTTGTGTTCAATATACTTAACCCTTTGGCTACAACTTGCATGTTGTAATGCCCTCTGAAAGACACTCTAGCCCTTCCAAATGGCTTTTGACTGACCATATGACAAGTCTGAACTGTGTATTGGATGCTCCTACTGTACTCTGATACACTAGTTCAGTTCATTGCTGAAGTGGTCTAAACCAGAACTAATACAAGGACTTTAAATTGGTCATAACTGAACAATTAGACTGTACTTGAATCGAGTTGGTTTGTTTCTTGACTTGAATTAGCACCAAGTCACCTTTGTTAGTATAAACTCCAAGGCCCTAAGCATAAGGGAATGCCTAGATAAAAATTCATTCTCTCCCTCCTGCTGACACAGCACATTTAGCTACTACAGCTCTTCCTAAAACTGATCCTACACAGTTACAAGGAGGACTTGCATCTTGCTGCACCAGATCTTAAAGCCACCACCATTTCTTAGATATTCTCATAATATACCTGTCTGAAAACTTAGAAATACCCAAGAATAGGCAGTTACTGCCTGTTGCTTGGTTCTTTTCCTTGTCCTTCTTTCGAACAGAAAACTTGTATAAATAACTACTACTATAATACCATCAGGCTTAAAGGATGTTTATCAAAGTCTCCTGGCACGTCCTTGTTACATTTTCAGTCTCTCACTGAAGGAGGGTCAGACCCTATTAAACAGGCTGTTGAGACAGGTTCTGTAAGGCTGTTCTGGCCTTTGGGCTCCTAAAGCACAGCATACACCAAAGTGCCTGAAGTAACACCAGTGGAAGCTTTAGGCTTTTGAAGAGACTGATACAAGCTGCTTCATGTTCAGAGTAGGGCCTCTCCTCAAGGTGTTTTTTAAGGCTCTATTTGAATTGTCTAATATGGCTTGTTTGGCAATTGATGGAAAGCAAAAGTAACTTTTTTCCTTACACCTAATCTGTTTTATCAGCAACTTTACAATACAGTTGTGCCATTTATGGTAAGAATAAATTCTAATATTCCCACTTAAATGTTAATGTCATTCCTGTCTGCTGAACTGCTATCAAACTTTTGTCACTACTACCTATATCCTTCTGCTCTGTAGGTAGTACTGAAATAACGGGCAGCTTAGTAAGAAACAGTTAACTTACTTGCATGCAGTAAAATAATGCAAAGCAAGCATGCTGTGCTTTAAAGGCAGGCAGGGTTTCCATGGGGTTTGCTTCTGCTTTTACCATCTGAACTCGGGTAGCATGAACCTGCATGCCAGTTAAGTTTTGATGCTTCAGAGCCAAGGTACTGATAGCTTAGTGGCCTTTCGTGAAGGAAGGCATAGGCTCATGTATTGCATGGACTCAAATTCTTAAAAGCTTGTATTCTTCTCCCCCTCCCCCCTGCAAGCCATCTGGTATAGTTAAGGTACTGCCCCTCTGGAAAACTTGCTTTATTAATAAGTAACTAAATCTACAAAACTAAAACCCCTCCCTGCCTATATGAGGATCAAGTAGGTAACCAGAAATACCAAGTTTGTACACATGCTAATTGGCCTAATGTCTTCATGCTTTATTTCTGCAGCAAAATGAGGATCCTAGCTGTTCTATCATGTAATGTGGACAAAGAAATGATCATCTGAAAATGGTTCTGAATCCCAGGTGACATAAACTGTATGTGTGTTGGTATCTTCTGCAATATCTGAAACTTGGAATTCGCATCTCCCATCTGACCTCTTTGTAAGAAACATTGTCCATAACATGATGAAACTTCTGACCTTCTGATACTGGACCCTGTCCTTGGATTCACTGAGATCAAGAGCAGTAGAATACAAGCTCCATGTGAAGTTATTTTTACTTTAACAAAAGGATTTGCTTTTCATGACCTGCTGAAACAGAGGAGGGTACACTGTTTACAAAGCTTCTGTGCCCTAGAAGGATGCTAAATACTTGACAAATGAGCATGAGGCTGCCTCAGCTTTCTCAATATTCCAGTGCAGTATTTCCCCAAAGGTAATTTCTGTTTCAAGCCTGAGGGGGAAACTGCATGGGCCAGATCACACCCTAGCTTGTACCTTGAACAAGTCTGAACTTGGCTGAAGTAAAACACTATCCTGAAGAGTGCTGTGTCTGAAATGTTTCCTGCTCAGATCCTGATGCTGAAATTACATGAAACTGGTCTAGATCCCTTGCTAGAAAACTTCTTAGAGTGAAACATTTTAAAATTAAAAGCAAGTTGTAAAAATTCTTGTCTGTTATTAAATGTGCTGTTGCTGTATTCTAGCACCTGGAAATCCACCAGTTTCAGTATTGTATATTCCTAGATATAGTATATTGCAGCATAGCTGTGTCAACCTTATCTTGGACAGATGTATCCTGTAAATGTGAAAAAGCATCTCATTCCAACAGAGAAAGTACTGTAACTACTGTAACACCTTTGGTCCCAGCAAGGCAGCTTTTTAAGGGGCTAGAAAAAATGCTGAAACAAAAATCAAACCTAGAAAGCACCAACTGTAGTAAATGGTACATAAATATCTGCTCTCAGAGTCTTTATGTGCTAAATCTCTGTGCAGGCTGCAGCACTGCTTTGTGTATGTCTAATAGGGCAGTGGGAGGAATAATGTCTAGTGGCCAGTATGTAACTTACTGTAACTTTAAAGCCTGAGCTATTTCCTCAGAAACTAAGCAGTCAGCCTCTGGGGCCACTGCATTCAACTGTTCTTAGCTGCTTTTTACTAAAATGCTTATCTACTGGCTCTAGGGGAAAGGGCCTTGATGAGCCACATGAAGTACACTTCTGTTTAAGAGCAGAAGAGGGGAGCAGCTGAGATTGCAGACTTCTCCAAATCCTGGAATAGTTTTTGACTGCCTCTTGACTTGCCAAAGTATTCAGTTCTCAATTTAAGACCTGTTCTGTGTTAGGATGCAGTTGTTGAGGTTTTCCTTATTCTTAAGTTATTTAAAAATGACACTAAGAGTAGATACTGGTTTAATACTTGCATTTTAGCTGATCTGTACCTTATGGCCCACATAAAAATAGCTGCTGCTATAACCTTGCTATATATATATCTTGATTTCTTAAACTTTTTTAACTATTAAAGATATTTTTCATGTATATAAAAGCAGTCTTGGACTTTACTATTTGCAGGCTAAATAATAAAGTTCTGTTTGTTCACTGATCTTACTTGAGTGGCTCAAAAGACTTTGAAGCAATAAAACTGGTGAGTTTAGGAAAGATTCCCTGTACCCTGAAGAAACCTTCAGAAATGAACTGTGCTGAACTGCTATGAACTTGATTTAAGAGGAATATTCAGTATTTCAAAAGAAAACTTCTCATAGAACAACAGCTTCAGCAATGACCATGAGAGATCTGAACTAGTGTACAAGTTGTGGTAGGAAATAGAAGTGCTACAGGATGTTGTCTGGTAACACCAGCAAGGGTCCAGGAAACCAGCTCTACTTCTGCTTACTGAGCTGTACAACCTACATGGAAGTTGTTCCTAGCATACAATCTTAACAAGGCTTGTAGTAAAGAATCAATTCTCTGGTGGATCCCAATGTGTGGACTGTCTTCCTGGTAGCCAATGTTAAAGATCATAGAATCATTAAGGTTAGAGAAGATCTCTAAGATCATCAAGTCCAACTGTCAACCCAATACTACCCTGTCTACCCATTTTTTGAACACCACTTCCCTGGGCAGCGTGTTCCAATGCCTGACACCCCTTTTGGTGAAGGAATTTCTCCTAATGTCCAATCTAAACGTCCCTTGGCACAACTTGAGGCCATTTTCTCTTGTCCTATCGCTTGTTACTTGGGAGAAGAGACCAACCCCCACCTCACTGCAACCTCCTTTCAGGTAGCTGTAGAGAGTGAGAGGGTCAGCCTCCTCTTCTCCAGGCTAAACAAACCCAGTTCCCTCAGCTGTTCCTCATAGGACTTGTGCTCCAGCCCCCTCACCAGCTTTGTTGCCCTTCTCTGGACATGCTCCAGGCCCTCAATGTCTGTCTGGTAGTGAGGGGCCCAAAACTGCGCAGAGTGTTCAAGGTGCGGCCTCACCAGTGCCCAGTACAGGGGCACAATCACCTCCCTGCTCCTGCTGGCCACACTATTCCTGATACAGACCAGGATGCTGTTGGCCTTCTTGGCCACCTGGGCACACTGCTGGCTCACGTTCAGCCAGCTGTCAACCAACACCCCCAGGTCCTTTTCTGCCAGGCACCTTTCCAGCCACTCCTCCCCAAGCCTGTAGCACTGTATGGGGTCGCTGTGACCCACCTGCAGGACCCAGCACTTGGCCTTGTTCAACCTCATAGCATTGGCCTCAGCCCGTCGATCCAGCCTGTCCAGCTTTGATCATCACTACACCTGTGTTTACTAAGCAGAGGAGAAGACTAATAGAAAAACAAATTAATTCTACCTTCATTTTGATAGTACTTACTTAAGATACTGAGTCTGTCCTTCATTTTGTGGCACTTTTTTTCATATTTTTAGTTACAGCATGTCTTTCCCTCTCCACCTCGTCTTCTCTTTCTTCTTCTCCATCCCTTTCAAATAAATATGAAAAGTAGAAACGTATTGACTTTTCATTTGTTTGCAGCAGTCACCAGTGATTCTCACCTATGTATCTCCATGGAGTTCTACACAAACCCTGTGGAGCTCAGATCGGTTTGTATTTAGTTCAAAGGAATTTTTCTCTTATCCTCCTGCTAGAAGGAAATTTTAACAGACATTCTAAATGCTACACAATCAATAGGGAGAAAGCAAGACTATTAAAATTCCAGTGGCTGAGGTATCAGAAAATAATACTTTGGCTTTATTCATGCATTTTTCATACAGCATTGTTTTCTTCACTAAAAGCTGATCTATTCAGAAAAAGTGACCTCCAGCTCAAAAACAAATGCGAGAATTATAGGAATAGAAGCAGCAACAACTGTTCTTATCCCACAGAAATATTTATTCAGTTTGGTCAGTAAATTATAGGAATTTTCAATGCTGAGAACTTGTACTTAGTACAACGTCATAATATTGACAACACCACTTTGCTTTTTGTCAACATACAATGTGAAACATGGATTAACTTGATCACAATAAATTACAGTGTGACAGATGAAAGAGCTCAACGACATCAGTAACTGAGGAACTGGTTACAGTTAGCTTCACTTACAGTATTTTTAAAAATGGGTTTCAATAGTAAAATCGTTGCAGCCAAAGATAAAAAAAATTCCACGTACAATAAGAGCAAGGAAATGCATTTTTGGAGCAACAGTGAGCTACCAGTAAACACTCCATACAGTGATCTTCAAGGCACAAAGCAAAAAAACTGGGTATGGGTTTTTTTGCAGGTTGATGAGTTAGGGAAGGTGAAATTTTTTTTGAATATAAAATAAATACATTTTAAAAAGACGCATACAAAAGTCAGTAAGTCAGTCAAATAGCAAGGCTTTCACAGAATGCCACACTGACAGAACATTTGTGAATCCATTTCAGTCATGAAATCACGTTCACAGCTTGAATGACACAATCACTGAGGCAAGGGAACCATCACTTCAACATAATTAATGGGGAAGAAGCCAGACTCTCCATTTAACATCCCCTCATACCAATTCTCATCAATCTGATTAGTCAAAGTTATGATGTCCCCTTCCTTAAACCCAAGCTCGCCTTCATTTTCTGGCTCAAAGTCATAGAGAGCTTGGCAGCAAGGCTGATCCATGTGCATTGAAGAACCTGCCCCAGTGACAGAAAAAAACCCACATATTAATAGAGCTTCACAGCATCCCACCAGCCACTAAGCATAAAACAACAGGTCAGAAAATGTAGCCCTGCCGTCAGGAATTTCCCCCCAACAGTTTTGCCATTGCTTTCACCCATTAACATCTGGTCCTGCTACATACAGAAATAATACTAGTGAGAATTAGTTTAAGGCATAATTCTGTTTCTCCCTTACGTTCAGATGCCACTCTATTTCCATTCCTAGTTGCCTTCCCTTTTGAAAGGGCATTTATCTCAAACCAATAGTTTGAGTAATCACAGTTGTCAAAACCAGTGTGCGCTCTTTGGAGCGGTGGCTGGAGGAAATGGAAGTGTAGGAGTTGAGGAAGTAGGAGAGTCAACAGGAGCAGTGCCAAGTAACCACTTAAACAAACTGCACTGCAGCACACCGCTACTGCGTGAATACCTACCTGAGGCAGGGGCTCGGCGTCAGTCCCACACACACTGACAGCCTGCAGGTAGCCACCTGGATTTTCACGCTCCATGTGCTTTTGCAGGAGCGAGGCTCCCAGCTGCTCCTGCGTTAAGGCTCCCACCCTCACCTCACTTGAGCAGCAACAGTCATTTCTGGGTTACTGCTCCCCAAGTCCGGGTGTTCAAATCCTCTGCTGTACACCTCCTTCATCTCAACTGAAGAAAAGGTTATGCTAGGAACAATGGTGCCTGTCAAACTATTCTACAGATGAAAACAGTTTTTCAATACAGTATCTGGCTGTTCTTGTGACTTATGCTGTTTGCCCTCTATAAAGATTTTCATTCCAAATTACTCTCTTAAAATATTAATGGTACCATATGCACACATAATAGTAAGTACATATATTTACAGGAAAACAAGTAAGTATAAAT